GAAATCAATTTATTTATTTTTTTTTAATAAAACATTATTACTTCTTGATAAAGTTCTTTTCTACTAGAAGCATATGAGAAGTAAACACTTGTTCATAATTTTAAATGTTTGATCTACTAAAATTACAAAAGATTTTTTCTTCCATCATTTTTTTTTTCAAATATATTTGCAATAGTATTCAGATCGAATCATACATGAATTTTTAGTCAATTTTGACTATGGTATTCTGATAAAACAAAATATTTCTATTTTTGCGGAATAGCATAAAGTTATCATAAACTTTCATTTGTTCGATATTATTATTAAGGCCCCCCCTCAAAAAAAGTCAATTTTCGTGAGAACTGTCAAAATTGAGATAAATACATAGGAAAATAGCCCGTCGTCTGCTCTTTCAAAATCAATAAAAATTTTTCCTAAAACCTCCATTTTTTCCCGAAATATTTCAGAATTTCAGAGAACCAGTTTTTGAAAAACCAGCGGTTTTTTGAAATATCCAAAAATCTTTTTCGTTTTTTCTCAGTTTGCACTTTCCAAAAAAGTGCATCCCAAATTTCTCCTCCTCGGTTCGTTCAATATATTAATATTTTTTTTTTGTTTGAAAGGCCGTCTCCAGGCGGAGTACATGGTGGGACCCGATTTTTTAATTAAGCCTTTGTTTGGTCAACATACAGCCAATTATATGATTTAGTTACCATTTTTTGACACTTTTTTCAGCCATTGAACTTGTTATCTCTTTTTTGCGCTTAAAAAAACTTACTTCAAAAAAAGGCTCCCAACATGCACTCCGCCTTGAGACGGCCTTTCAAACAAAAAAAAAAAATTAATATATTGAACGAACTAGGACCGAGAAATTTGGGATGCCAAATGAGTCATTTTTGACCCTTGTTTTGTTCATATCTCCCTGAAACCTAAAGATTTTGGGCTGAAAATTTTATGGTAGTCTTCCCTTTCTAGCACCAACATATCCTGAAAGTTTCATCTCATTTGAATGTTCCTGGGCTGAAAACGATTTTTGAGGGGGGGCCTTAAACATTTCATATGACTAATGCTAAGATATTTTATTTCCAAAAAAAAACATGATTTTTTTTCTACAGATAATCGATAATCACGATTAACAATAATTCCTTTAGGAATAATGAAACAATATAATAACAACAACAACAGAAAAAGATAAACATTTAACACAAGCAAATGGCTTGCATAAAAAGAAAAAAAAACAATAGTTTTTTAATGATTTCGATTATGTTGATGGTTCTTCATCATCACTAATCGATTCATCATCTTCATCTATAAAAAAAAAATAATTTTTTCATATAAATAACAAAATGAAAATAAACCTTGTTCACGTTTTCGTTTTTGTCCACTACGACGTATTTGTTTGCTACGTCCATTTCGTTTTCCACTAGTATATCTTTCATTTTTTTTTGTTCGTTGTGCTGCTCGTTTTTCATTTGCTTCTTTCCAAAATTGTCTTTCTTCTTCACCTTCAACAATACGACAAATTATTTCATTATTTTCAATAATTAATTTTCCATTTCCAGCTATTAAAACTTTTTCAAGAACATCTTTTGCTGTATTTGCTTCATTTAATCGTACCCATGCCTTCATATAATCATATGAATATTTATTTTGATAAAAGAAAAAAAAATCTTACTTCAGTATCACCTTTATTAAAATCAATCCATGGCATTTTAGTAAATGGATTAAATTTTGCTTTGATCAATTCACGTGTTGTATTAGCTGCCATACCTTTAAAGTATTATTAAAAACAAAAAAATAGTTGTGATAATAATATGTTATACCATATATTTTTAAGTAGTCATACAAAGAAACATGATTTGTGAAAAATCAGTAAATTGTTTTTCGAATTATCAACTTTGTCTATGAAAGAAAACGATGTGTAAAATAGTGTTTTTCTTTTCTTAACTGATTATCGTATATGTCTTCTCTGGCTTTATCTTATTAGATTAAAAATTTGACAATTTCGATATGATTTAAATGTATTATGAAGAGATATTTGTAAAACAAGCGAACATCTCCCAAATCAGAAAGTGATACCAGAGCTGATTCTACGAACACCGATATCTTTTAACAATGAGTAGTAGCCCTACTCAAGTTAGATGCAGACCTAAAATTTCAGTCTTTTATATGTTTGCATAAAGAAAATAGCAGGGACCGACTATTTCAATTTTAAGCCTTATAATCGAATTCAGAATATATAAACGAAATTAAAGTATGAAGATTTAAAATTGAAAAACTCGTTCCCTACTATTTTCTTTATGCAAGCATATAAAAGACTGAAATTTTGCGCCTGCACCTAACTCGAGTAGGGCTACTCACTATCAAAAGATATCGGTGTTCGTAGAATCAGCTCTATCTATTAGTTGCAGTGGCGTAGCCAGAAATTTTTAAGTTATGGGCAATTCATCAGCCGAACTATTTTGAGTTACGGGCAGCTAAGGGCAACCATTATGATTTCAAAACTATATATGGACAATAACTGTTCAAGCACTGTATAGTTCAATAAATCCATGGGCAATAACTTTTGGAGCTATGGGCAATTGCCCAATGGCCCTACCCCTGGCTACGCCACTGATTCGTTGTATCACTTTCTGATTTGGAGGAGGTGTTCGTTTGTTTTACAAATAACTATTATGAAGTATATCAAAACTATTTTGAGAATAATAATCTGATTCTGAACAAGATCACAAGTAGACATGTTAGCCGCCGCCGCCGATCAAGTTTGGAGTTAGAACAATATGGTCAAAAGGGTATAAATAGACGCTTCGCATTACACTTCCCTTCACACGAATAACATTATTGCTATCATTGTATTGTATCTAACAAGCGAAAAAATACATACCTATCCGCTAGGATGACGCATTATGTTCGAGATGTTCACGTCAAACCCCGTCCTTTCAAGGCCAGTCAATCTCTTGCGTGTTCACATTTCGGTCATCTTACATCATCAGTTACGAAAGAAGTGATTGATAATAAGAATATTTATTGCAAGGTTTGCTATGACAAACAACTCGTCGAGCATCCTGATGTCCTGTTGTCATCATCATTAATACAGAAACAACTTCTTGAATTGATGACAATAAATTGAAGTATAGCGAAAGGTTTTTAATATAAAAAGAGACCCATGTGCGAAAAGGGAGATAACGATATGTTTCTATGAAAACAGAAAGTGTAATGTTTGTAACAAAGGTTGGAATCAACAAAAGACTTGGTAAAATGACTTTCGAAAAATTTCACCGCCGCCGTCGAAGATGCCTTCCTCGGCGTGATTTGTCCGCCGCCGATTAAAAGATCGGCTAACATGTCTAATCACAAGTAAATTCAATAATGATTTTTCATCGATGAAACTCAAAAATTTGAATTATTTGACAATAACTCAACTTTCTTGTTGAGTTCTTGAATTTGTTATAGACATAAAAAATCTTCCATTGTATGTCTAATGTGATATTGAAAAATTCAAAATTAATTAATGAAAATATATTTTTTACCAACAAGATGAATAAGTGCACCAAGTAAATTTTCATTATTTAATTTTTCTAAATGTTGATTAGTTTGTTTATTTAATTCTTCTTGTTTTTTTTCTTTTTTAAATTGTTTTTCTTTTTCTTTTTCATTATCATTATTATCTTCTAAAGAACATTCTAATATTGATTGATTATTATATTTAATTGGTATTATTTTTGAATTTTCAATAAATTCTTGTGCTTTTTCTTCAGTTGGAAAAATAACTGAAACACAACCATTAAATTCTTTTGTTTTAAATTTTTTTTTCATTTGTATATTATCTGTTGCACCATATTTTTCAAAAAAATTAAATAATTTATCTAATGTAACATCATCAGTTTGTGGAAAACCTTTAACATAAATAGTACGATTTTTTAATGCTAATTCAAGTTCAGCTTGACTATTTGGTAATGAACGATTTGGATGACGACGTATTTTATTTTCTATTTCATTTAATTGTAAAAGACCTGAAAATGAATTTTTAAGTGCATTCATTATTGTTTGAAAATCTGTTGTTAATGATTGAAGACGTTTAAATGTTGTTAATAAAGATAATGGTATCCAACCATCATCTTTAATACTTTCATTTTTAAGAAATTTATCTCGAACCATATTAATATCACTAAAATAATATTCAACTTGTCGAATAATTTTTTGTTCTAAATCTGGTGATGTTGTTGTTTGACTTATAGTTGTCATATGATTATCTTCATCAGCACTTAATATAAAAATTAAAAATTTATTTTTCGAATTTTAATAAAAAAAAAAAATAATGATTTTTACTGATCAGTTTTATCAACTGTTGTTGTTGTTGTAACTGAATGATCAGGATTCATCTATTAAAATGAAATTTATTCGAAAAAAAAGAATATTTCGAAAAAAGAAAAATTCTTCTATACTGTTTTAATTTCTGTTGTTGTTGTAACAACATCACCATTAACAACAGTTTCTTCTACAGATGAAATAAAATCTGTCATTTATTCAATAATTATCTAGAATATGACCAAAAAAATAATAAACTGTTTTTTTTCGTTGAACAATGAAAAGAAAAAAAGGAACGATAATTCTTGATTAGAAAGTGTAAAATGGCAACGGATATGTTTTACAAATACAACCATTAACGAAAAAATATTCTATAGCACTCATATCGGACGAAATAAATTTATAAATATATATTTGCATGTAAACAGAAGTTTTCTCTTAGGGATATTTCTTTTTTTTTTTTTGGCAAAACAAAAAACAAACAAAACTACAATTAAAATATACAAGACAGAACATTAATAGATTCTCTCATGTAAGAATAAATAGGACATAAAGAGTGTTCACATATAGATTTATACTCTAATGTATTCATTTAAATGTAGACAAATATCATTTCAATAGAAAATAAAACTTCATTGATGGACGTTAAATTTTGATTGAAAAAAAAAAACAAGAAAAAATAATTAACTTGTTGTTATTCACTGTTGATTGTATTATTCATGTTCTGGTTCACTATTAAACATTGATTCACGTGAGTCAGGACGTTCATCAGAAACATGACCACCTTCATCAGAAAATATACCTAAATTGAACAATCAATTATAATACAAATTATAATATAAATATTATAATTTTACCATCATTTTTTAATAAAGAATGATTATTTTTTTCTCCATAAATTTCACTTTCCGATGAACAATTATGTTTATCACGATGTTTTTTATCATCAAGAATATAATTATCACTATGAATATCTTCTACTTCACCTTCTTCAGATGATGTATAAGAAATATGTTTAATAAATTGTCGTTGAGAACTTTGATCATTTAATATTAATGGTGATAAATGAAATTTAACACTATGTGAATGTTGTTCATTTGATAGATTAGATTTTGTTGAAAGTGATGACATTGATGATGAATATTTTGTTTTATTATTATTATTATTATTTATATTTATATAACGACGTCGACGTTGTCTTGGAAATGTATGATAATGAGTTTCATCACGATATTTTGAACACTTATTTGATGAAAATATTAATTCATTTACAGGATTTTTAAGATCAAGTTTTAAATTTTTTCGATTTAATTCATAATTATTAGTTTTGGATTTTGCATCAACAACAGCTGATATCGATGGTAAAGGAGAATTAATTGTTGTTCTTGAAGATAAATTTAATTTTTCATCTGTTAACTGTATTGTACTTATTGCAGTATATCTTTCTTTTTGAGATTCAGTTGTTGAATGATTGGAGGGTGTCGCATTTTCCTTACTATTATTATGATGATGACCAGAAATTTTTTTACGTCGACTTAGATTTTTTATATTTGTTAAATCTTGTTTATTGATTAATTGATTTGATGTATTATGTAAATTAGCTGATAGTTGAATATTTGAAGCTATATAACAAAAACTTAAAGTTTTTTATATAAGAAGAATAATTTATTAAAATGAAAGATAATTTAAATATTAATCTCAATAGAATTTGCTTATTTATATCTATTTTTTTAAATGTTTTTTTTCGTTTTTGATTTAGAAAAATAATTAGATTTTGTATTGATCAATAAAAACAGAAATGATTGTATAAAAATAAAACTTACATTGTTTATTATCTTTTTTAAGATATCGTCTTTTTTGTGATAATAAATTAATAGGATCATTTAAATTTCGTGTTGCAGCTTTAATAATTTCTAATGATTTTTTCCTGGCTTGTGTTATTGCATTAATAGTTCGTTTTTTTTTATTAATATTAAGTAAATTTTCTTTTTCTTTAATTATTTGTTCACGTTGTTCTAATTGTATCATTAATGTTTTTAATTCAATATAAAGTCTATTTATTTGTTGTGTACGTAATTCATAACGTTGACGTAAATCATTAATATATTGTAATTCTTCTTGACGTTTTTCAATTAATTCATCATTTGTTAATTGAAGTATTGATGATATATCAATAGTTGAAAATTTTAATAAATTTTCATTTATTTCATTTGAACATAAACGTGTTAATTCAGCATATTCTTGTTCTTGTTCAAATAATATTATTTCAGATTTTTTTATATCTAAATGTTTTATTATTTGTTGAAATGATGGACGATTTGATGGTTGTTGATTCCAACACATTGTCATTAAAGATTTAAAACATTCAGGTATAGATGATGGAATTGGTAATTTTAAAGTACCTTTTGCTACACCTAAATTTCAATACAAAAACAAACATGAATATAATTTGTCTGATAATATTTTCAAATAGGATAGATGTACTTACCCCACATAACTGCAATTGGATCAATGTTATTATATGGTACTGCACAAGTTACCATTTCCCAAAGAATAATACCAAACGACCTAGAAAAAAAAATTTGTTCTAAGAATGATTAACAAGTCCTTTACAAAAAAGCTTCAAATGAAAAGATTATATATATATCATTTTGATTAGGCTGTATATAATGAATTTTATTGTAATCTTGATATGCACAAGAGATTGAAAATCATGCTCTAAGAAATGCTATTCTCAATTTAGGATGCAACGATTATAATCAATCACTATTTCATCAATAAACCGATATACAGACGAGAAATTGATGGTAAAGACTGATTATTAAATACTATTAGTGATCATATTTCTTAGATATGTTTGAATTAAGTGAAAAATCGATCATCATTGTTGTAGTCCTAATCACAGTAAAACATTAATTGAATGTTTTCAAGATTGAGCATTTTCACTATAGGATAAGAGATCATCATTGATGCTGGAATTTGAATAGTCTTAGTAAATTCGACAGTATGATTAAATTGTTTCATGTAGAATGATCATATTTTATCAACTTATTTCAGCTAATCTATAGTTCATCGTTATTAATTGAAACTAGATAGGAAATGATATATTAACAATTTACTGTAAAGATAGCGCTTACGAGATGTTAGATTTATTTTTAGTTACATGAACAGCAATTATATATCTAATTGTGTAACATCGATATTTTTAAAAATTCAGAACGTCAAACGTTTCATTAATCGGCTTGTCCACGTAACACGACACTTCACTGATCAAACTTTTTTTTTCGAGTTGGATACATCTGAATGAGTTACTAGATGCAGCTTTTAACGCTGATTACGAATTTGACATTTAGTGGCTAAGGACAATTTGTAGACTCTTATATACAGAAAAGAGTAACACTTATAAAAATCAAATCGTTTTGACCATGTTAAGTACCTCAAAATTGGTCGACAAAAAACTGTGTCACAGTGTTACGTTTATTTTTTGCATTTTTTTATCTAAGCAAAAATAGTTTAGAGAAAATTTTTTTTTAGCGTTTAAAAGTCTGTTCAAAGCTCTAAAAAACTTGCTCCAGCAGTGTTTCATTTGGAGAAATATTTTTACAAGAAATTGCAGTTTTATTAGTCGCTCTGAAGAAAAAGAGTCTTTTTATGTCACAGCGTTACGTTTGGACAAGCCGTAATCAAGCGTATAGTCACAGTGAATAATAAAATATACAAGAATTAAATTACGAATAATATTTCATATAAACTCTCTAATGAATTTATTTATGTTATAAATATGATTTGTTTTGATAAGATTTAAATATTTATTCTCTGCAAAATTTTTCTTCTTCAAGTTTTGTAATTGAAATATGCTTTTATTTTGATTAAAATCAAAACAAAAAAAATAGTATAACAACTATCATGTATCAAACTTACATTGAAATAATTTTTCCTGATAAAAACTTTTCATTATGAATGATAAAATTAATATCTGATAAATACATTTGAAACAGTAAAAACAACTTTTTTTTTTTCTTTTTTAAATTATCATGGCAAGAAACAATAAAATTTCACAAATGATCCATGAACTGAAGAATTTTAACAACTATGATTGAAGATTATTTCTAAATATCATTATTTTCAAAATGAAAAAAAAAAGAAATACTAACCAAACATCAATTTTTTCTGAACAAAGTTCTTTTTTAATAACTTCAGGTGCCATCCAAGCACTTGTTCCATTAAATGACATAATTAAACTTCTTCGATTAATTAATTCTTTACTTATACCAAAATCTGATATTTTTAAAATATTTTTATCAAAAAAAAGTATATTTGGTGATTTTAAATCTCGATGAACAATTTTATTTGAATGTAAATAATCAACACCATTTGATATTTGTCTTGACCAATTAAGAACTTGTGTTGCTTTTGTACAAAAATCTATTTCACGATATTGTTTTAATTTATCATATAAAGAACCATTTGCACAATATTCCATAATTATATAATATAATGGTGGTGATATAGAAATACCTAAACAAAAGAAAATGATAAAAAAAAAATAAAATAGTACAAAAACAAACCTCGAAATTTAATAACATTAATATGATTTAATTTTTTTAAATGTTTTATATTCGTTTCTTCTTTAGATTTAACTCGTTTACATGCAATATCTTGACCATTTAATTTTCCATGAAAAACTGAACCTTCTATACCACCACCAATAAATTTTAAATTAACAATATTATCAATTGAAATTTCCCAATCATCATTTGATTTTATTAATGTATTTGGCGTTTTTTTATGATATTTTATATTTTCACCAAATTGATGCATAACAGAAATAAATGGTTTAAAACATCCAAAAAATTTATAAAAAAAACCATTATTATCATCACTATTTGTATTTATAGTAGTTTGAATATCTTGATATTTTCCTTCAATTTGTGGAAGATTATATGTATTACTAGTAGTAATTGTATTAATTGCTAATATTGAAGGTTTACGAAATATAACTGGTGGATCATGTTCTCCTGTTGAAGTTGATGAAGATGGACGAATTGTTAATTGTGGTATATTATCTTCGGTTACTGTTGGAGCATCATCATCTTCCGATAAATTTATACTTTCCATTGAATTAACAGATGATGAACTGAAAACAAAAAATAAAGCTTCGAAGAGAACAAAAGAAAAAACGAGGAACTAACTCAACATGGATAATTTGTTCTTTAATCATATTCTGATTAGAATTATCAAATAATGAAATATTATTGACTAGAGTTGTATCTAATGTTGAACTTAAAATAGTTGTTGTTTCATGATTAACATCAGGTGCTGGTGACATATTTTTTTTAATATATTTGTCCCAAATACTACTATTAACATGGGACTTCTAAAAAGCAAAAAAAAGTTCTATTTATTTTCAAAAGACATCACTAGATCAATAATATTTCTTATCGTTTTCATTATATGTTATGTCGATAGTGATGTTTTGACAGCAAAAGAAAAAATAATTTATTTGTTTGCTTTTTTTTTTCTTAGCCAATCAAATTAAATCTGAACATTTCTCATTTTCAAAAAATAAATCAAAATGATATTTATATTAAAAAATGAATAATCTTTATTTTTAAATTAAAATAAAATTTTATTAAAAAAAGGAAAAAAAAAATTCTTATGAATACATATATGAGTCATTCATTCTTATCAGTAAAACTAATTTAATTTATTGCTATTAAAACTATCAATGCTCAAAATATGAAAGTTTATATTGATATATTTATTAGTAATAAATTATATCGTGATTCATACATTCAATGAAAATGAATGTTGTTAATAATGTTTATTATAAAGTTGAATGTTACTAAAAATATTGACATTGATGAATAAATTAATTAAGTATCGGAAGTTTGTAAAACAATTGAAGATGATAATATTGATCTTGTCTCATTAATTTTAGCTAATTTTATACTATAACTTATAAATTAATTGAAATTAGAGTCCTGCACGGGTACTAATTTTCGCACCCGGACCCGGCCCGGCTCATTTTTTTCAAACCCGGAATCCAATCGGACCCGGTCATCTTCCACCCGGAACCGAACCGGACCCGGATAGCTCTACCCGGTACCCGACCGGACCCGGCCCAGCCTTGAAATAGTCAGCACTTGATTGTTATTGTCAAAATTATATTCACTTTTCAAACTTTTATTTCATATGGCAAAATATACTATTATTTTAATTTCATCAAGTAACAATTTGTACCCGGACCACAGTTCCGGGTCCGATCGGGTGTCGGGTATCGGGCCCCGTTGCAGGACTCTATCCTAGAGTGTAAAATACTTTTACTTGTTAAGATGTCATCGACTACCGGTCGGGTACCGGGTATGCTCAAATTCTGCACTCGACCCGGCATTTTTTTTTATACCCGGCCCCGTTGCAGGGCTCTAATTGAAATAATATTTGATAAAGAAAAATTCAAAGATTAATTAAAAATATATTCTAAAAAGTAAATTAAATTCATTTTATACACTTGTTGTTAATTTTTCTATTGAATTTATTTAAACATAAAAATTATCTTCAAGAGAATGCTTCAGATCGTATTTCAATATCAACAACATCAGAATTCTTTTTTTGGTTTGATTGCAATTTAAAAGAAAAAAGTTTCGAACTTGATTCAAAGTTTCCGAAAAATTTTATTCTATCATTTTTGAAGTCAATTATTTTTCTTCACTGAACTGTTGTGGGTGACAGTTTTTTAATTAATATAGAAAAAGTTAAATGTATAATTTTAAATCTAGGAATGTTCAGTATTTGCGTAAATATTGAATAGTGAGTCAACGACATAAGGCCGATTAGATTGACATTCATGTTGGCTACAGCATTGAGACAGCAACTCTATGAAAAGAATCACTTTTTGTAGCGATTTGCTTTAACATTGTATTGAATACTAGTGTCAGTGTGTATCAACTAGATTGAATCGTTGATTAATAAATTCCCTATTTAGATCTCTTAACTTAGATAATTAACAAAAGTAAGTTTTCGATGATTGACGAACATTATTCAAGAAAATTAATAGAAATAAACTTAGACAATAGTCAACATAACAATTAAGTCACACAATGAAAATTTCTTATACATGTGAGTACTTATTTATAGATTTCTCGTAAGAAATATATAGTATTTCTGATGAAACTTTATATTGTCATGATTCTAAAGATTCAATATGTAATGTAGTTGATTGTTTCATTTTTAATGAATTTATTTATCAATTGCATGCTATTATCTTTGCGTGTACATTAATCTAACAGATTCTATTGATAATTCAGTTGATGATGTTTTTTTTCTTTCTTTATTTATATCATGATATTTGCTTTTGTATCGAGACTTATTATTTATTTTCGATTTAAACATATCAATGTTCATGTTTGAAAATATCCAAAAATTTCTGTTTAATGAACATTGTATCATAACATTCTTCATCATGAATCAATCGATTATATTGTTTTTTTTTCATTCAAAATTTGAATCTAACCGAATTAAATATTTTATTAAATCATTTTTCATACAAATATTGAAGTGCCTATCATATTCATCAGATCATTTATATGAAATAAGTTTTAACAATATTTTAAAATAAAATATTCTTTAGTTGACACAAATACATTATATGATATACAAAAAAAAAAACAAGACTAAATAATATGTGACAATCATTTCTTTAACTCAATGATAAAAGATGTAAAAAAAATGAACCTCAATACCCAAAATAAAACAATGTCCCTATTAATGATAAATTTAATTTTTTGTTAAAAATTTTGGTTTTTCAAAACGATTTTCTAAATTCTTAACAAATGTTGAATAAGGACAATAATAATTATCACAATTAGGTAATATTTGTGGCTAGAAAAATAAAAGTCAAATTCAATATGAAATTAATTTAGTTAATCATTTATTCGACTTACTTCATCAGCATAATTAACTGCAACATATGTTTCATTAGGATTTCTTTTTGATACATAATATTTCATTAAAATATATGAAGCATAATCTGGCCAACGCATTTCAAAAATCTATGTACAAAAAGAAAGAAGATATGCAATCGACTATTTGAATTAAAACAGATAATTATATATACTTCAAGTGCCATTGCTAAAGGAATTAATGTTGTATCATGACCTGAATAAATAAATAATTTTTTATATGATCTAAACATTTAAAAAAAAAACGAAAAGATTTCCTAATAAACTAATAAATTTTATATAAACTTTTTTATATTATTTTCTTTTTCGGTAATATAATTTTTTGTTATTGAATTAAAATTTTGTTTCATTAAATAAAGAAGTGGTCCACATGTTGAACGTATAAATAAATCAAAACCAATTGTTGTTCTAAATATAAATAATCAAAATTTGAAATGATTTATTCAAAAAAGAACATACGCCATTGAAACAAATTCTCGTGCAGACATAATTTCAAAATTTTTTGTTAATTCAAGATATTTTTTTGGAATAGAAAAATTATGTGCCTAATTTTAATCAATACATTATATGTTTTAAAATAATTCTACAAACTTGTCTTGAAACAAATTCATCATGTAATTCAACAATTCCATGAGGATAATCTTTGACACCTGATTAAGTAAAGAATTGATTGAAAGTAAGAAAAAAAAAATGGAAATTTTACCAATATAATTAATTAATGCTTGACGAGCTTTTTTTAAATCATGATCATCATGTAATAATCTATACAATTCTAAAGCTGTATGACATTTCTTTAGAGTTGGAAATACTTTTGGATTTGGAAACTTCAAAGAAATTGTTCATTTTTTCAATTTAATCAAATAAAAATTATTTTACCATATCTTCATCTGGAAAGTTATGAACTTCGATTTCGAAAGGACCTTTTTTTTTTGATACAATAAATTTTTTTTTTCTAATGTTTTATAATAGAAAATACCTTTAGCTTGAATTTTATTGTCATCTTTTTCTGATGAGAATAGACCAGCAAGAAATGATCGTGCACTAGCAATAGTTCGATCCATATATGTTGAACGACAGCTAATAAAAAAAATTATAAATTTCACTTCAATTTTAATATCACTACTTTAGATATTCATTATATTAAAATATCAGAATTAGTTAATTTATTAAAACGTACTTACGAGGGAATCTCTCCGAGTGTTAATCGCTGATCGAGCTCATATTTTTCCCATAAGTTAGACTAGCAGAAGTCCAGAAGGATTTGTCCTTTCGGAGGAGTTACGACCGTTTTACTGCTTTTTCAACCTCTTGTAATGGTATTTATAGGTAAGTCCAACAATAAAATTTTGTACATAAATAGGTCTCATGATCATTAGAGTGTCTTAAAAGTTTCAGCTAAAATGAACGTTTCTTTCTCGAGATATTTGAATTTCCAAGTAGCTCGATTTTTTGACCTTTGCCTTTGAAATATAATCGTTCCTTGAAAAAGAAACGTTCATTTTAGCTGAAACTTTTAGAACACTCTAGTGACCATGAGACCTGTTTATAGACAAAATTTCATTGTTGGGCTTTCCTATAAATACCATTGCCAGAGATTGAAAAACTAGTAAAATGGTCGTAACTCCAAGAGAACAGCGTATGGAGACGAATCCTTCCAGACTTCTGCTAGTCTTACTTATGGGCAATATATGAACTCGATCGGCGATTGACACTCGGAAAGGTTTCCTCGTTAGTAAATAACTCTCCAGTCTTATAACAGACAAGTCAAAGAATTTTAGAATAGACTTCATACCACTAACTACATCTATGATGTCATTTTCAACAAGATCCAACTCCAAAAAATTGGGTGAAAGTTTTGTAGATCCACTTAACATAAGAAGAATTGATTTGATATTGTACATAAAATTAGTGTTTCATTGACTCAGAAAACGATCCTCTCCGAAGATTGACTTTGTTCTTATAGACATTGGGAGTTCTTGAGTCGAAAACTATATACTCATTCGTTTGGAATTGCAAACTGTTGATTCTAGGAAGAAATTCTTCTCAAAGTAACAATGAAGTTAACTATTCAATTTTTGAAAATTCTTAATTCTTCGAAAAAAGACTGTCAAAAAATAGTTTGTTATATACTAGACAATATTTGGATCATAAATATTTGGTATAATTTCATTATTATCTTCTTTGATAATTTGAGATCGTATTATTTTTCCAAGTTGATATAATTGTTTTTCACCAATAGCTGTTAATTGTCCTGTAACTATTTTTCCTCCTGAAGTTGACTGAACAAAAAAACTATTAAAATCTTTTCTTTTTTTAATATTCTAACAAACTTTTAATGGTTTAATTCGATCACCGATAATATCATTTGCTGATAAAATTTTATCTTTTGATACAATATCATTACCTAATTTTGTAATTAATTTAATATCCCATTTTGTTGGTGGATAAATTTCAATATGTTCTTTATCATAAGACACCTGGAAGATAAACAAAATTTCTTAAAATCAAAAAAAATGATCAAATTATTATTATTTAAAATATACTTCTTCAAGTCCTGGTAATAAACTAAGTGGTGTACGAGCTCCATGTCGAAAATAAATTTGTGCACCAATTAATTGTAAATCATCACGAATTTTTATATCATTTGATTTATTTTGTATTATTTTCGAACGTTGACCAGTTGATGCCCAAGAAATTAATGTATTTCCATATGTTGACATTGATTTATTTGATGTTTTTAAAGATACATTATATAAACTTTCATAACATAATTTTAATAATATTGTTGATGTTCCTGTCAAAAATGACCATTTTATTATTGAATGATAAGTTTGTCGCATAGCATTAGAAAAACAAAATTTTTTTATCTATAAGAAATATAAGATGATGTTCATCGTTGAATGTTAATTTTGTAATTATATATTTAATTATTTTCACATATATAAATACAAATAAAAATGTTTTGTTTTTTAATACTTTTACATATTAATATAAAAAGTAAAACATACAAATAGATGAGAGTTCAATCAGCACTGTTGACAAGAAAAAAAATACAAAAAAAGAATTTCTTCCTTTGAAATGCAAATTCATCATTTGATTAGACAAAAGGATCAGTAAATGAAGCATCAATAGCTAAAATAGATTAATTTATATTAGATATTCATTTTTCCTATGAAACGTTATTTGCAAGAACAAAAAAGATCTTCAACTTTAATTGTCTTACGAATTATTTATTAGTGAGATGAGATTGAAATTATATACGCATCTAGGAAACATAAAATTATAAGGATTACATCGAATTGTTGAATTTTAATTAGAAATCTTATCAAAATTTGAAATATTTCACTCTAAAATTATTCTAAGAAATATATCTGGCGGTAATTTATTAATCAAGATTTTTTTTTTTCTTAGCGTCATTATTAATAATTATTTTTTTAAATAAGATCGAATCTTCAAAGCAAGATACACCTACAGGTTAATGTTCGATTGACCATTTCTAATTTATCAACAAGTTGTTCTAATTCACGTACGTTGATATCATCATCAATAACAGATTCATGTGGTCTAGATATTTAACAAGATAAAAGAAAGAAAAGAAATTAATGAAAATCAATCGATATTATGTTCGTTTACTTTAATTTTTCTAATATTCCTGATGAAATTTGAATTAATTTAATTACTAATCGTTGTCCATTCTCACGTAATATATCGCATCGTTTCTAAGATACATGATTGATTTATAGGTACTAAAGAAAACGTTTTCATTACTTCTTCAATATTACAAGCACTTGTATTCCGTTTTTGATATTCAATTGATGTCATAGTTTTTCGACATCTTGGAGATATTTCTTCATGGAATTTTGGACTTGTCGATGTAGGTCGATGAGCTGATATAGATGATATTGTGCGCCTTGCTAATATATCTTGTCGTGGAGATGTAATATTTCTTCTTGCTATTATTTGAGAATTTAATTGTAAATTAGCGAACTCTTTTTTATCATTACTACTTGCATTACTATGCCATGATGTATTCATTATATCATTTTGATTTAATTGTTTTGTATTACGTTGTGATAATTCTTCTATTTTTGCTTGTGCACGTGCACGACGTAATTGAACAGTTCGATTTATTTGTCTACATGAATTAATTGTAGTTGTTGGCTTTGATATTTGTTGTGATAATGTTTTTGATGAAATTTGTTGTTGAATTAATTTTGATGTTGATGGTAAATGATTAGAACTTTGTTGACGTAATAGAAATGTTTTATTCATAGAGAATTTTGTAAAATTTGGTTTTATTTCATCATATTCATTATTATTTATTATTGATGATGAAGATATTGTTTGTCCTATGATTGAATTACGTTGAAATAATTCTGAAGAATTAGTTTGATCATTTATAATTGTATGAGATTGAATAGATGGTTCGATATAAGGTAATTGTTTTTCAAGATAAAATGAATATTTTTCTACAGAATTTTGATTAGAACATGATGATAATGAAGGAGATATTGATTGATTAATTGTAGTTTTAACATTTGAATCTTTAATAGGAACAGATTTTTCTGATCTAAAATTAAATAAATTTATTTTGTAAGAAATATTTTCAAAAATAAAATATTTACTGGCGTAAAATATCTCTTTTTCGTTGATGAATATTTGTATTTAAAAAATGTTTTGTTTTCAATGTTGGTGAAATAACTTAAATAAAAAAAATAAAGAAAAATTTTTCTTTCTAAAATTATTTCACCAAAATATTCAGCTGGTTTTATTTGATTTTGTGATGATGATTGCAAAAGAATATTTGATGTATCATTAGATGATTGATTTTCAAGTTCATTATATATATTATGATCATTTTCATTTGAAAATGAAACATGAGATGATGATGATGATGATGATGAAACTAAATCATTTTTTGAAATATTTAAATCAATAATAGGACGATTAATTGTTTGTGTTGTTGATGTTATTAATTGATGTATATCAAATGTTCCATGACGATTTTTTGTTTGACATACATATCGTTTATATGCTAATGAAGAATTATTTTTTTGTTCTAATTCATTATCATCTTCAATTATATAAGTACCAGCATCACTTAATGTATCAATATCATGATGATCTGATGATGAAATAACAAAATCTGATGTATGATTATCAGATAGTTGAACATCTGAAGAATAATTAAGATTTTCTTCATCTTTAGTTGTCATATCAGATGTGTATAATTGCTAGAAGAAACAAAAATTCATATTAGTCGAATTATTTTCTTTTTTGAGGAGGAAAGGATCTTACTGATTTTATTAATTTATGACAAGAATCTTTTTTAGGAGATGGAAATTCTAAAATAATCTAAGATATTAAATTATGAAAGAAAATTCTTTTCTTACCTAATGTCAAAGAATATTTTGAATTCTAAAAGAGACAAATGAATAAATATTGTTAATATTTATAATCTCTTTCATACATACATCTTTCGGTGATTCATTTTCCTTTGTTTTCACAGTGGTTGAAGCATTTCGAAAACCATTTTGATTATCTATACAAACATTAGTTCCAATCTGTGGCTAAAAAAAACTAGAATATTTAATAACGTTTATTTGTATTCATTCGATTTCACAAAACGCTTTTGTTTCGTAAGTAAAGAAAGAAATGTACAAAAAAAAAATCTATCCGCATAGTACATTGTTTTCTCCTGTTAACATATCTTACCACATGAGGTGATGATGTGAATAATTCATTGTTAGTTAGTATTTTTATAATGTAATAATAAATGAGAAGAATATTAGAAAATAAATAGGGAACATCTAAAAAAAGGATCGAATATGATCAATATATGTTTCTTATATATAATCAATTTATGCCTATTTATATTCAGCATCATTATAACTATATATGTATATGATGTTATTGATCTCGATAAAGTCTTTTTTTCTTGAATAGGAATAAGGTTCTTTAGAAATAGAATTCTCACCTGAAAATGTTTTCTATGAAATTGACGTAAAGAATTTGCCCATCGTTGAACATTTATTCGATCCATCGAATCTATTTTGTAATGTTAATTTTTCTTCTCTCACACCTTTTTCTTTATCACTATTTCAAATAGCTCTCTTACGTGTTCATATGTTCGATATTAAAAATAAGAAAAAAAAAAAACCCTTGTATATCTCATCATCATATATTTCAAACTCAGCTGCTCACTCGAGCAAATCAGTCAAGTGTATCAAACACATACGTAATAAAAAGAAATTCATTGATGAATTTTTTTTTTTTTATTTTATTTTGAAAAAATCTAGACAATGAGAACGCACAAAAAAAAAGAAAATGAATGAACTTGAAGATTATCTTCTCATCATTATACAAAGAATTTTAATAACAACATGAAAAGAAAAAAAAACAGACCAAATTAGTCACAACAACAAAAAAAAACGCAGAAATCTTTGAATTTTGTTTACAGAATAATCTGGTCCGAAATGATAAACATATTGAATACGTATTATATACAAAAAAAAAAGGAAAAGCCAACAATTACACACATTTATTTAATCCAATACAACAATATCATCATCAACATACGATACAAAATTTGTATTGAGTTTTTTCCATGGTGCACGTGCAATACGACGAATTTCTTTTTGAGGAATTTCTTTTCTTAAACGTCTAAAATGAAAAAAAAAAAGTAAAATAAACATTTTAGGAAAAAACAAAAAAAACTTACTTAATATCTTTTGTTACACGTAAATAAATCCCATCGGGAGCTAAATAATATATATATAATAAAAATATTCTATTCGAAAATAAACTTACGATCAACAAATGGAACAGTATAAGCACGTGAACGAGTTGATTTTACAGTGCTCTAAAAAAAAAGAAATAACATTATTATATAAATTTATCAATTGAAAGAAAATCATGACGAAAAGGACGATTTTTTTTGTTTTGAAAAATCTAAAAGCGACAATCAAAAAAAACCTTCTTCCTCAAACATCTATCTGAACTTCTACTGTGATAAGACTTGCATTCGAACATGATATTCAGATTTTTCGCATAACCACTCTGAAGTACTAATTTAGATAAATATTGGAAGAGCTACTGTCTGTTGATACTAAAATTTTGAATATGTTAACCTTTTGAGGACGGGGTTACTGTAGCCGAAAAGAAATGAAACTTTTTGAAATACTTAACAAGGCATTTATTTGCAAATATAGGGTGTAGATGTGGGAATGCAGGAGTAAGTTTGGGCTTGAGCGTGGGCGTGACTGCAAAAAGAAGAACACCCACACCTACGGCCGGAGCCAGAGCCACATTCACACTCGCATCAGAAATTATAAATCTATGATTTATGCTGCCATTAGAGTCTCGTTAGATATTTGCTTATGTCAGATACTGATTGAATTAGAATCAAAGCACACGTATGTGCTTCCCGTCCCCAAAGGGTTAAGGTCTCCTTCCTCAAAAAAGTCCATTTTCGTCAAGATCAACGAAATTAAGATAAATGCAGAGGAAAATCGTCTATCATTGGATCTTTCATAAACGATAAAAATTTTTGAAGATTTCCGTCATCTCCTATTCGAAAAAAAAACTGAAAATCTTTTTCGGTTTTTTTTTCTTCATTTTATAGGTTCTCGATCGTATCTCCAAGATGTCTAGAAGGAACTTCGTTGTAGCCAATAGTTTTCTTTTGTTTGTAAAACTTCAGTACCTATGAGAGCCAGTTTTTTTTTTTATTAAGCTTTGCTTTTATTATATATATACAAACCTTTATATAATTAGAGCGCTATTTTTGGAGAGGTTTTTTGAGTGATTGAACTGTCGATCTCTTTTTTTCCCTTAAAAAAAAAGGACTATCATAGGCACTGCATTCTGATAAACAACTTAATATTCTATTGAAGATCAGTAAGAATGTTTTTGTTTAAATTCACTTACAGGTGATTTATTTTTAATTAAATTTTGTCGAGTAATTAATGTTCGTTTTGGTGATGGACCTATAAAAAAAAAAATAAATAAAATTAAAATTTATTGTTTTATTTTTACCTTCATTTGAACTTTCATTTGATTCATAAGGACGTTTTTTCATAATACTTATATTTGAATGATTAAATTGTGTATAAAAATCTGCTGAATCATTTTGTAATTTTGGATAACGTAATGGTAAATTTAATTCATTATCAATTTTTTCTTCAGATATAGGCATAAAATCATCGAATGTTTTATTTATTTCATTCTCATCTTTATATGGAAATAAATCATTTAAATGTTTATATTTTTTTTGTTCATTTCTTTGTTTATATAAATCACGAAGATGTGTACATGTATTACGAATATCATACGATGATTTTTCTTTAATAAATATTTCCCATTTACGAAATGTATCATTAGTATCAATTATAAATGATGGACAACGTGCAAGATGTCGAATTGAACATAATGGACGAACAACACGTGTTAATGGTGTTGTATATAAAGAAAATGTACTACGTGGTTTTGATAATGGACGTGGACTACCAGAACGAAACATAATTCCATGTGATACAGCATAATGACGTTGAAGAGCAGGTTTATTTTTACATTCCTAAATAAATCAAATTTTTTTTTTGTATGTTTAGTATTTGATAAAATTGAATTGGTTGTTTTCATTTTTGAGTGTAACACAATAACAATCAAATCATATGTAGGTATTTTAACGATTGATCTAAGCTTCTTAGTTTTTTTGTCTGAAGAAAATCTTACAGTACCTTTAGAAATAAGTAGACTCAATAAGAAACAACAGCATTGAACAAGAATAGATAAATAGAATTTTAAGATATCGTAAGCATTCAATATATTTTAGTTGATTGTTGGCGTCTATATGAGGATTTTCAATCAAATATCGTAGTTCTTTATTGAAAGACTGGGATTTTTTTTTCGCTTTGGTGGTTAACTGCCCGATCTAATATGGATGATGTCTGGATGTGGACATTGTGTGAATCGATGAATTTCTCTTAACCTGTATCTATTCTCAAGTTGTATGCATCGAAAAACCAATTGATCACTTTGCACATACGATAAAATATGTTCAACTACCATCTGTTTTAAGATGGCAGTGTCCGAGCAAGCAGCTGTCCTAGACTGATTTATTTGTATTCAAAATAGTGTTCCAAATTATTGTTCTCATATGTATAAACGTTAAATTTCACAAACACTATTCAGTCTCTGGTTCTTGTATTGACATACATAGAAGGATCAAAAAGTATTGAAAGTTTTAAAAAGGAGCGTGTCGGATTTGGTGACCTATTCAGAATTAGAAAAAAACAAAACATGTCATGTTGTAGAGCAAGTCGAATGGCATATAATAAATCTTGTTTTCATAAGATTTTGAAGGAACCAGACTGGATTTACTAGTAGGCGACCATCCAGTGAAAGCACTGAGCATTGTGGACCTTGATATCAGTTGAAAGTGTTTGTAAAAATAAATTTCTTGTATACAGTTTTTGTAGCACTTTTCACAGGCTACAAGCTCATATACTCAGCATCTCCGATCGTCCTATCTTTGATAGGGAAAAACGGGACTTTTCGATGATTCACCATTGTTTTTCACGGGTAGTGGCTGTTGATGAGCCTTTGAATCCGTGGGCGTTTATCAGTAAATCTAGTCTGGTTCTCTCAAAATCTTATTAAAAACAAGAATTGTGATAAAGCATACGACGCGTCTCGATTTGCTCTACAATATCGTGTGTTTAGTTTTTTTTTAATTTTGGATAAGTTATCAAACCCGGCATGATTCTTTTTAAAATTCTAAGAACTTTTTGATCTTTCTAGCAATATGAATTCGTCTCCATGAAAGAAATCTTTAATTAAAAGATTTTAGAAAAATCAGAATTGATTACATTGAAATTCGAATACTCAAGCAATATCAAAATAAAACTCTTGCAAAGTAAGTAGAATAAGAATAAACAAAAATGATGGTAGTGATAACGATGTCTCTTCGAGTCATATGAAAATATTTTATATTAGTTCGAACCTTTTTTGCAGCAAAAAAAAAGGAAGTCAAGATTTTAAGTCTTCGAATGAAAATAAATTCTATTCTATAGAAACTTTATCAACATACCTTGTCACAACCATTAACATTACATTTATAACTAATTAATTTAGTAATATTAGCAGCTCGCTCTAAAATAATTCTTATAAATGAATTTATAATATTTATAATAAAATTTACTTACCTTGTCGTCGATCAGGACCTAAAATCCAATATAAAAGTCAATATTATTTAACTCGTAATAAAAATAAAATCTTACCACTTTTTTTCAAATATTTTAAACCACCTAATTTTTTATAATAAATCCAACATTCTGCACAAAGTCTTGTATGTGGTTGAGCTGTACTCCATTGATACCATTGCAAAGATGACGTTGCTAAACAAAAAAAGATGATGTATCATTGTTTCACATTCGAGAATACATACTTCCACATGATTCACATGGTTTATTTTCATTTTGTGTTCGTTGTGGTAATAAACATTGATGTGCTTTATTACTATAATAGAAAACATTAGTTAATAGATTAATATTAGAAAAACAAAATATTCAATACGAACTAATTCGGTATAAAAACTTGTTTTAATTTATTTTCTTGTTCAGCTAATTTTAAACGTCTTTGAACAACATAACGATCTGTTGTTTTCCACATATAATAATATTCAATAATACCTTTTAAACTTTTCCATGGTAACTATAAAACTTACATATGAATGTTCTATTTCTTAATAGAATACTTTTTTTTTGTTTTTCTTACATATTCTTTTTGTATTTCACGAAAATCTTTTCCACATTTTTCAATAGCATCTTCAAATGAATTAGCTTCAGCAGCAGACCAATCTTCCATTTGATCTTTAACAAGTATTGGTCCTGTATTTGGTACTAAACTACATGTAGCTAAAGCTAAATCATAATGATGTTTATGTAATGTATCCATTGCAAAAAACTATAAAAAAAAGAAATATTCTAATCAATCAAAACAATTAAATTTCTTACTAATGTTGCATCACGTGATGCTGATGCT